TTCGCAGAGTATCGTCATTATAATACATTGGCTACATAGCAATTCACACTATGATCATGCCATATATGCATTCTTCTTATCTTTTGATCTCAGTACTACTCTGTTAATCCACATAAAAAATAAGTCAAAAAATAAAAAAAATTATAAAGTACTGTTTTTTTCTTTAAGAATATGATTGAACGCACGGGATAGGGGATCTCTCTACTGGCTGGTCGTGGGGGTTCGCACATCCTCTTTCCTCTTGTCATTAAGTCGTGCATACACGATTCATAGACATACTTACACACACACACACACACACACACACACACACACACACAAACGCACGCACACGCACACACACACACAAACGCACGCACACGCACACACACACACAAACGCACGCACACGCACACACACACACAAACCAACACAAACCAACACAAACACAACCCAGCACAAACAAGTGCACCGTGCTCACCCTAAACAGAGCAAACATGTGGGCGAAGATGATGCCTGCTCCTCAGCTGATTGCGTGTCACCACCACCGCTCCCGCCATCAGCATGGGCAGGTGCGGCGAGGAGGAGGTGGGCACGAGCGCGTTGGGCGAGCGTGCGCCGGCGCCACTTCATCACGCCCTTCAGCACACCCGCAACGGTTTTTGCGAGCACGGCAGCCAGCAGCAGCTGTCGCAGCGACTGTGGTTGTTGTTGTTGTTGTTGCTGCTGCTGCTGCTGCGACTGTGCTGGTGGCGCCTGTAAGTGGTGGCGTGCTCCCTGTGCTGCTGCTGCTGCTTTCGCCGCTGGTGGTGCAAAGCGTAGGCCGAGGCACGCGTGTACAACAGAGACAAATCCAGGGCTGACGATGCGAAGCAGCAGTTCCACATCGTGCAGCACAGCTCTCACGTCAAAATCTCGCAGCACAGCCACCCTGCGGCCTGTGTTGGAGGTGGAGGTGGAGGTGAGTGACGTGGTGCTGGTGGTTGCTGGGGTGTGCACCATTACCCACGCACGCACATATGCAGCATCGCACGAAGCAACTCAACACAGCATCCCCAAGCAGCAAAGCAACACGCGTCATCAACACAACACCATCATTGAACACGCATCAACACACGTCATCAACACACTGCATCAACATGTACATTGGCGTCGAAGCGCGGACAGCAGCGCCGGCTGAAACGTGAGCAGGATGCCAACGATGCCGAGGCGCTGCACGTGTCAATGGAGAGCAGTGTGCGAGACGGGTGTGCGTGTGAGTGCGTGTGTGTGTGTGTGTGTGTGTGTGTGTGTGTGCAAGACAAGCGCGAGACGTGACACACAAGGAGGAGAGGGCGCACACGCTGGCGAGCTGGCTGATAGAGTCAGGTGGTTGCGTACCAGTGGTAGAGGGGCATTTGAGGCTGCATCACCGCCGCTGCGGCGTTGGCAGAAGAGGCCAAAGTACTCCTCAGCAAGCGTTTGGCGCACTATGCCGGTGCACAAACCAGGAAGCAAAGCAAGTGCGTGCGCGCGCGCGCGTGTGTGTGTGTGTGAGCACACGTGTGCGTGTGTGTAGATATCCATGTCGGTGTGCGTGAAGTTGGTTCTGTGAGGAACTCTCCAGGCGGTTTTCAGCGACGCCTCGTCTGCCAAACTGTCATGAACACTACCAGCACCACCGCCACTGGTCTTACCGCGAAGGTATGGCAGCAGGTACACGAAAGCACGTGCAATGGCCTGCGCGCACCACTTTACCTTTGCTGTTGAGTGTGTGCAGTGTGTGCGTGTGCAGTGTGTGTGCAGTGTGTGTGTGTGTGTGTGTGCAGTGTGTGTGCGTGTGCAGTGTGTGTGTGTGTGTGTAGTGTGCGTGTGTGTGTGCGTGTTCATGGTACGTGAGTCAGAGAAACCACTGAGTTCACCTCACACACATACGCACACACGCACACCCACATACAGCGCACGAACAAACATGATTTGGGAACTTTGCCCCCCCCCCCTGCCTTTGCGTGATCGTTGCTCGCGTACAGCTGGTCGTGGTGCGTTTGTGCGTGCGCAACTACCACCACATCGCCACCAGCACCATCACCAGCAGCACCATCGCCAGCAGCACCAAGCAAGCAGGTCCCATACCTATTGATGCTGGTGTCCTTGCTGTTGCTGCTGCTGTGATTGTTGTGATTGTTGTGACGTGCGGGGACAGGAGCGCAAGCACGTTCCACAGCCGCCTCTCCGCCTCCAAAGCACACCCTGCATCGCGTTCCGCAGCCAACTCGCCCAGCACCACATCCATGCTGCTTTTTTTATGCTGTCGTCACAAATTCTTGCTCGCAAGCAACAGTGCTGCTTTTCTCGCAGGACTGCAACGCGCCTTGCTGCTGGGCAACTGCCACCAAGCCCCCCCCCCCCCAGCGAACCAGAAGAAGAAAGGCGAAGACAAAGCAGGCGAAGGCGTAGCACGAACCGCTCTCTCACACACCGACCAACAAAGTAATAATGCAATGCAATCATCACACCATCACACCATCATCACCCCCGCCAGCCTCTGCTCATCGTGCCACCTGCCTTCTTCCCTTCCCTGCTCGCGCCTCTCCTTTGTTGTCTTTCAGTCTTTCTCTCTCCCTGCTGCTGCTGTTTGTGGGAGAAGAACCAAGTGCATCCATCATCACATATTGATTGCCATAGCATTCTTCTCAGAGCCAGCGACGCCGCTAACGCCGTGATCTCTCCTCGCCTCCTGTTCACCGTTTCTGTTGTTGTTCCTGCTGCATCTTCCCTTGTTGCGGATTGACTTGTGTACAATCTGTGTTGCTCTTCTTCACCAACGCCCAAACGACCAAACGACCATGCCATCGTCTACGTTGCGCGATGACCGACACAGCAAGGTCAACACAAGCACCACCACAACCATGACCACAACCCCGACCAGCACCATGCGCAGAAGCACCGCCGTGACCTTGCAAGTCACCACACCAGAGTACGAGCCCGTCATCTCCCGCATCCTCCTCCTCATCTGGACATTTCTCCTCGTCGTCACCTGGGTGTGTGCGTATGCGTGCGTATGCGTGTGTACGCGTGCGTATGCATGAGGCAGTGTGAGAGTGCGTGCTGAGTGCCTGCGTGCGCGTGTGCGTACGCGTGAGTGTGTGTGGCATCCAGGTTTGTGCAGATCGTGAGATGACGATGATGGGCGTACGGGTGAACGCGTGTGCGTACGCGTGAGTGAGTGAGTTGTTCAACGGAAGTTACTTCAGTCTCTTTGGACGTGTGTGTGTGTGCACTTGTGGTAATGCTTCTCCAACCCCTGTGTTGTTTGTTCCCTTTGTAGATCTTGCTGGTTGTGGCATTCACGCTCCCCGATTGGGTGGAAGGCACAGAACCCACAGACGACCCCGACTTTCCTTTCCTTGACCGCCAGGTGCGCATGTTGTGTGTGTGTGTGTGTGTGTTGTGTTGTAGCCGGGCGGTACTTGACCGTGCGTGGATGGCGTGTATGCTTATCTGCTTGTGTGTGTGTGAAGGCGAGACAGCGCACATGCGCCACCTACGCACACACACACACATACACACACACATGTTTGGCTTGAACAACTGACTGAACTCGTACATCTCCCTATCTCCTTGTTTCGGCGTTCTTTGGTTCATTTTGCTTGCAGGTTGGGTTGTTCCGGCAATGCGAACAGTACACACCGCTCAACGATAACGTGGTGACTGGGTTTGGCGCAGAGCGCTGCTTCAGCACAGGCTTCAACAAGTCAAACATTGACGCGTGGTATGCTGCTGGCGTCCTCTTCGTCATCGGGTGCGTTATCCCGGCATCGGCGTTGTTCTTTTTGGTCTTCTTGTGCTCAACCAGCCAACCAACCAGCCAACCATACAATCAGCCAACTACAACCAACCAACAACCCATGCAACCAACCATTCAGGAATACATACACCCTTACACCCTACCACTGCCCTACCTGAGGGTCCCGTGTTCTCACCACACTCTTCCAACGCCACCGTTGTCCCCAAACACTCCTCGTTAATTAGGGTCATCTTCCTGTCAATGACGATTGTGCTGGCGCTTGTGGCCACCATTCGGGCAAACGGCTGGGTGGCGGCGCTGGCCAAGCTGTCCATGAGCATCACCAGCATCTTCTTCCTCATCGCCTCCATTCTCTTTCCTTTGGGGTTCATCTACCTCGATGACCGCTGCCCGGCCGGCACGGAGGAGGGCCAGTGCGGTCTCAGGTGCACCGACCCCACCGCAGGCATGGACTACTTCACGCTGTGTGGGCCGTACGGCGTTGGTGCCGCGTCCTTCCTCATGTTTGCCGCCCTCGTCGTCTTCTTCATCAGCTCCTTCTGCGCGGCCTGCGTGCGCAGCGCATGAGCCCATGAACCCACCCCGTTGCGCTGTTGCGTGCCAGTCCTACACCACAGAGCACACAGCGCAAACAAACATACACACATCTCCATCTTTCCTTGCATCCAGCTGTCTGTCTGTCTGTCTGTCTCTCTTGTCTGTCTGTCTGTCTCTCTTGTCTCTCTTTTCTCCCCTTGTCTCTTTGTCTCTTTGTCTGTTAGTGTTTTTGTGTCTCACTGTTCCATGGTACTTGCTTCATAAGTAAGAAGCCCTCCTCCGCTCTGTTCTCGACTGCCCTGCTGTGTCTGCGATTTGTCTGTGTCTCATACCCTGAGTTCTTGTGTTCATGGCGCGAATGAGCGGTGATGGGGCGGTGTTATTCTTCGTTATTCCCCTCCTCCTTCAGTCCTCTCCTTTCCTCCCCCTCCCATTCGCAGATTCGCCGTTCATTGCAGAACATGCCTGTCTACTCTGTGCCTCGTTTCTGTGCTTGAGTGTGCCGCGTTTCTGTGCTTGAGTGTGCTGTGTGCTGTCTCCGCCCATTTGCCCTGGCGTATGCACACGCAGCCACGCCCTGTCGCGCCATCCCAGTGCCACTGTGTGTGTGTCAGTGTGTCCAGGTGTCCTTAATGAAATGAATGCCGACTCAAGAAGCGAACTGCATCTCACCGAAACCATATATTCCGCACAAAACAACCAAACAACAATGAAGCAGCGCGTTGTGGTTGTGGTGGTGTTTGTGGTGGCGTGCTGTTGCTGTGGCTGCGGCAGTGTCGTTGGCGGTGGCGGTGGCGGAGATGAAGAGGGTTTCGCCGCGATAGCAGAGGATGTGGCGGCAGCGTCGTTTCCGGCCGCGTCCTGGGTCACCTATGCCGAGCTCAGAGAGTCACAGCGATCACACAGCAAGGAACAACGTCATCCCGTCACCTTTGCCAACTTTACTGTGCGCGTGCCAGACTCCCCATCAAACCTGTACGCAGCATGCTCTTGTGGCGGTCGGTGCGCGCGTGCGTGTGTGTATGTGTGTGTGTGTGTGCGTGTGTATGTGTGTGTGTGTGTGTGTGCGCGTGTGTGTGTGTGTGTGTGTCTCGTGCTCGCATGGTACGTGCAGCAAGCACAATTGTGTGTATGTGTGTGTATGTGTGTGTGTGTGTGTGACGATAGCTACGAGCGACGCTTACACGCGTCCCCAACATGCAACCACACACACACACACACACACACACACACACACACACACACACACACACACACACACACACGATTCCACCCGCAGGAGCGTGGACCGTCCGCAGTTCACCGTGTTCCAGGAGCGGGCGTGCCCTGCGTCGCGATACTGGTGGCAGAGCGCACCTGGCCACGTCCTGCCTGGCGACACCGTCACCTTCAGCGTGGAGCAGACACCGACGGGCTACAACCTTCTCCTGTGCAACAGCCTGGCCAACACATCGGTGAACAACACCGTGAGCGTCCCTGAGGGCACCGTGTTCTCGCGCCTGTTCTTCGTCATGGAGCACGCACCCTCCACGTGCGACGAGCTGCCCCAGTCCAGCATCATCTTGGAGGACGTGCACGTAGCCGTTCGCGGTAACCACGTCCCGCTCTCGCCGTCCTCGTGGCGCATCCAGGCGCCAGTCTCAAACCCTTGCAACATCCGCACAGATGTCCACAAGGGCACAACCATCGCCTTCGCTTGGCCAAACAAGCACGATGAGCACCACCAGCTCCACGCGTTATGGACCTGACACACACACCACACCACACACACACACACCACACACACACCCACACACACACACACACACACACACACACACACACACCACACAGCTCTCATCATGACGGTGCATTGTTGGCTGGTACGTGTATTGCTCATGAAACGGCAGCGTTCGCCTTGCTGTGCGTGTAAGAGGTGCGGGTGTGCGCGTGCGCGTGCGCGGGTGCTTTGTATGTATGTGTGTAGGTAAGTAAGTAAGAGTGCATGTGTACGTGAGGAGAAAAGAATCGGTGTCATGTTGTAAGAGGAAGACCCGATTGTTATTGACCGGTCTGTGTGCTGCTGTAGGTGTTGTTGAGCGCCCCTTCGTTCTGTTGCTTGTATTCTGTCGCGAGCACAATGGATAAGCGTATCATTGACCCCCGTTGTCCTTTCTTTGTGCGTCCTTGTGCTTCTTAGTTGACAAACCCATAAACGGTCGTGCCATCCGCCATGCCCTGGGACTGTGTTGTGTTGTGGACCAATGGTGGCGTGAACTGGTGTCATGGTGCGCCCAAATTGATACCAAGATCAACAATCCGGAGGGGGTGGATGGGTGGTGGAGGCAGGGAGGCAACTCGTGTAGAGGCAGACAGACAGACAGACAGACAGACAGGCAGGCAGACACACCTTCATCCGCCCTGTCTTGATGAGAGCAAGAATGCACGCCTTGGTCTTGGATCCAAGACACAAATCGTCCCTGCGCCCCCCATGTGTGCGAGTGTGGGTGTATTATCAATGGAAGTGAATGCGCAGAGTACAACACACACGCAGAGACTTGCACGCACGCAACCGTGCACATACACACTCAACCACACACACACACACACACACACTCACTCAACCACACACACACACACACACTCAACCACACACACACACACACACACACAAAGCCACACAGCCACACACAACCACGCACTCCTATCCAGCGTGTGCCACACCAACCTGAGCTGTGATTCGCTCAGCGTCACTTCAACAGAGCCCACGTTCTTGAGGCATTCGCGCAGCGCCAGAATGACCTCGTTCAACTCCTCCACCGACACCTGCCGCAGCACACGCAACAGATAATGGCAGGTTGAGCATGGAGTCAGTTAGTGCACTTGCGTGCTCACGCGCTCATGGTTGTGACAGGCGCCGAATCAGAACGATGCAGGTCCGAAACACACACACACACACACAAACACACAAGCACAAACAAAACAAACACTCACAAACGAGCAAACAAACAAACAAACAAACAAACAAACAAACAAACAAACAAACAAACAAACAAACAAACAAACAAACAAACAAACAAACAAACAAACAAACAAACAAACAAACAAACAAACAAACAAACAAACAAACAAGCAAACAAACAAACAAACAAACAAACAAACAAACAAACACAAACAAGCAAACAAACAAACAAAACAAACAAACAAACGCGCGCGCACACACCCAAACACAGAAGCAAGCAAGCAACCACCCAAAGTGCACAATTTCATGCTTTACCTGCGCTTGGACAAAGGAGGGCAGCGAGGAGAATTCTGTCGACGACAGATCGCGCAGGATCTCATGCACGTGCGCGGTCAGACTGTCATTCATATCGTCTGCGTACACAGACTGGCACGTGTCATCCACAGGCTCGCCGGCGCTCACGGTTTCCTGCGTGTTGTGCGTGCTTGCATGGCCGCTGTTGTCCTCCACTGCCTGAGGCAATGTGGACACATCACGATCATCGCCATACTCGTCAACAACGCCATCGCCATCATCGCCATCACTATCTGCGTGGACGACCTCCTCAGCTTCAGTGACAGGTGTGGGTGCTGCGTCTGCGCGTGCTTGTTCCTCCTCACAGACGTCCTTGCTGCTCATGTTGGTGGTGTTGTTCGGCTGCGTTCGGGCGTACTTGGCGCGAAAATCACTGTTCATGTTGAAAGGGGGCGGTGACAGCGCAGACAGGTCGAGTGGGTTCGTGTCCGCGGTAGCAGTGGTGGCATGAGGTGTCTCTGCCTGTGTGCTGTGGTGCGTGGATTGCTCTGCATGCTCGTCATGCGCACTGCCAAACGACGCAAGATGGCCGAGGCCAAAGTCAAGGTGAGCAGCATCCTTGTCGCTGCTGCTCGGGCAGGTCCTGGCGATGTGGTCAGTAAACGAACCTTCCCCTACACCGTGTTCGTCGCCATCACGCACTGCCTTTTCACTGCTGTGAGTGTCGGTGCTGGCGCTGCTCGTATGGGCAGTCGTGGAGGACGCCCGCGGCAGACTGGTGGACATGGGCAGCGGGGACATGTCCGAGTCAAAGCTGTTGCGGTACTTGGCATCGCGTTCCGTCATGCCGGTTGTCATCTGCATGGCTGGTGGTGGTGAGAGGCTGTCTGCTCGCTTGAGCGCTTCCATCGTTGTGGCGGACAGTTTGATCTTGGTGCGGCTGAGCATGGGCGGGGACGGGCTGGGCATAGGAGGCTCTGGCGCACACGTGTGCGGGGACTGTGGCGGTTCCGAGAGCGATGACACCTCGCCCTGTGCTTCTCCATCGTACGCACCTGCCTCTTGGCTGCTGTTGTTGGTATGCGCAGGGGATGCAATTCCCGAGACAGTGCCATCCACGCTGGAATCACCTTGATGAGCGGGCGTGTCTGCAGCACAGCCCTTGGCCGCCTGCTGCGCAAACACGTCGTCATCGTGCCATGTGTCTGCGGAGATGGTGTAGCTGTCGGAGGCGTGCTGGGACGTGTCGCTGTCAATGCAGAACGTGTTGTCCTGGTTGTCTCCCTCTGGATCCTTGCAGCTGAGCAGCAAGTCATCCAGCGACGGCAAGGGATCAGCAGGCGCGAATCCATACTTGCTCAGCTTCGACTCGACTGTGTCAAGCACCTCGTGGTTGTTCTAATAATGTGATTGATGCGCATATGTTATGTACGTTATATGCGGTGAAGCTTGTGGCTGAGACGGAGTTGTTGGACGTGTTGCGCTGTGGTGCTGTTTGCTTTGTGTGAATGCAACACTTTTTTCACTGTTTGAAGGTCGACATGGGACAAACGCATACTGGTGCGCATTCATGTTCAAGAAACTGAGTCAGAAGCAAGCGCACGGGTGCACACAGCCGCCCACGGCGTCTCGCACGCCACACAAACCCACAGCATGTAGCATACACACACACACACAAACACACATGCACAAACACAACACAAAGCAAAACCAGCCATGAACGAGACGCAAGACAATCGTCACGGACCTGGACGATGGTGTGCAGGGCGCTGACGAGGGAACGGGTTGGAGACGCAGTTTGTTGTTTGGCCACGAGCTTGGCAAGGGCATCATCCAAGCTCGCTGCCTCTGTCTGCAAATCCACAAGCGTGTCTTCAATGGCTGTTGTTGTGGTGGTGGATGTTCGTTTGGATGTGTTTGTCGCAGTGTGTGTGTGCGCGCGTGTGTGTGTTTGGGTGTGGGTTGATAACGAATGAGTGGCTCATCTACAACAAATCGGTACAACAACACGCTGTTTACAAAAGCGAACAACAACCACACGGTGCACCACGCGCACGACACACAACGAGCGCTGCACACGACACACAACGAGCGCTGCACACACAGACACACACACACAGACATAGACACAGACACACGCCATGCCACAACGCACAGGCCGAGGCGCTGGTGTGTGCGACGCCTGCAGGCTGGAGGATGTGTTGCTTGAGATCATTGCAATCGCTCTCAATGTGCTCGGCGAGTGCACGCAGCGAGTGCACGCAGCTCCGAGAAGAAGCTCACAATCGCCATGGTGCTTGCTGCTTGGACGTGGGTGTTGGGGTGGAAGACAAGACAGCGTATGTGTTGGGGGTGTGGAGCGTCGTCTTTGGTTTTGCGTCTTTAACTTCCGTGGTTTGAATATCGCGGCAGATGGTTGCTTTTCAAAATTGATGTTGCAATTGGCAAAAGCACCACGGATTTCTTTCCTCATTTCACGAAAGAAGTCTTCTGCGGTTGTGACGTCACAAAGACCGTGGGGAATGCCCGGTTTTTTGCAATGCTGGCTTGTGGTGGCTTGCTAGCGCGGGTGTTGTTTGTGATGTGACGCTTGCTCAGCACTCCACACACACCACGCCACTCCCCTCGCTGTGAAGACACGAAAGAAAATCATTTCACCCGCTTCTGCGCCTTTTGGTTGTGTGTGCGCCGTGTGCACTCTGTCTTCTCCTCCTTCTGGTGTCCGTTCGTGAGTGTGTGTGAGTGGTGTGCCCCATCTGGTATCCTCCTCGAGTGACCACGCCAAATGGCACGCTTCCTCGCATTGTTGACCTTTGCGTCAACACTGCTGGTACGTGTGGATGGGTGTGGGGTGTGCCGGGTGGTTGTTGGTGGAGGTTTGTGGGGCGCGTCGCGCTGTTGTTTCGCTGTGTTTTCTTTCTGTGTTTGCGTTGCTTTTGTTGGCGTGGGAACCAATGCGTTTGTTTGGGTTTAAGGGGGTGACCGTCGTCATCATCCCCCTTTGGTGGCTTCTCCGCTGCTTTGGCACAGCATTGACCGAGCCCAAACGACCCTCTGACTGCATGATGTCTGCACGATGGTTTTGTTGTTGCTGTTTGTAGGTGGCCACTGGACAGCCGTCCGGCTTTCATGGCTGGTGCGTGCGTGTGCTGACGTGGAGGGTGGTGGTGGTGGTGGTGGTCACGCATGTATCGGCCTGCAGCAGTGTCCTCTGTGTCTTGGCAGCGTGTGTTCCCGTGGCGCAGTCTGCCTGCCTGAACAGTTTTCCCATGGCAAACACCACCGCTGCACACTGCTTGCTGCACATTGGACAAGTGCACACGTTCACCTTCCTTCTTCTGCCCTGTCTTACATGCAAACGCCAACACAAAACAAACTCGTGCATGATTTGTGTCTGTTTACAGGGCCAACAACTTTGGTGGCTATCTGAGTTTCACCTGCCCTTCCAACCAGGTCCTTGACGGCTGGTATGGCGTCTTCAGCAACAGCCGTCGTAAGTGCCTGCTTGGGGTTTGCTTGTTGTGATAGATTGCAATTGTGCCGTCCTGTTTGTTTGTTTGTCCTGCGTGCTTGTTGAATCAGCATCTCACCAACATGTATCTCTGTGTGTTGATGTGCATCCGCGTGACAGTTGACCGTCGCTACTCTTTCCGATGCACCAACGGTGAGACATGACAGCGAAGATGTGCCTTTGTGTGTGCGTGTGCATGGGTGCGGCCACATGCCTGCTTCCATACGAACGCACCATCACGCCACCTTCTTACCTCACCTGGTTTTCCCTCCTGCCTTCAGTCAACTCCATCACGTACCGCAGCTTTGGTGGCTATGAGAACAGCTACTATGGCGGGTTCACAAAGACATGCCCCAACGGTCAGGCCATCTACCGCATTCAGGCTGGCCACTCCGATGGCTACCGCGATCGGTGAGAGAGAGTGTGTGTGTGTGTGTGTCTGGGCCGTTTGGTACACCTGTGTATCCCTTGTTATTGCTGCAGCCACGCTTCGGTCACTGTGTGTGCTTGCTCTTATGTGATCAGCGTGTCAGCAAACTGCTGACCCAAGTTGCTGGTCCATCTGTGCATTGCACCCTGTACACATGCTGATTAACGTGCACACCACGATCGTCTGCTGCTGTCCCCCCACACACACACACAGTCGTTGGCGCATTGGCTGTGCAGACCACACAAACAACAACGAACAACAACGGCCCGTACCACAGCAGCTGCTCGTGGAGTGGATGGACCAACAACTGGCCCAGCTACTACCCATACTACTTCTACTACGTAAGGAGTTAATGGGGTTATGTGTGTTCGGGGCAGGGGGTGGACAATCGTGCAAGGGAGGCTGTGATCATGACTACATGGGCATACGTTCTCACCACACACACATACATATACACGCTTAGCTGTGTGAATGTTCATGACCTGTCTGGACCAACTCACCATGCGTTTGTGCGATGCTTGCTTGTGGTGTAGTACTTCTACTACTTCTACTACCCCTTCTACTACTACCACGTAAGACACGCTGCTTGTGCTTGCCTGTCGTTTGTACTGTGCATGCATGTGTGCACATGTGAACGCCTTCTTTGTGTCGCTGCCCCACAATCCCATGTGACACAAGCTCTTCCACTCAACTCGCATGACCGTCCTCCTCCTCCTCTTCCTCCTGCCCGCGCCTGCGCCTGACCCTTGCAGTACCAGCTTCACGGCAAACAGCAAGTATGTGATCCGCGGTGTGCAGTCCGACTTCAGCTACACCTTCCGTGACCGCCGCTGGCGCTTCTACCAGTGCCGCGTCTCCTGCCGCAGGTAATACGTGCCTGCATACGTGTGTGGTTGTGTGTGTGCGCGCGTGTGTGTGGTTTTGTGTGTATACATGTCTGCGCCTCCTCTGCTCACTCACCCACTCACTTATTGACATACTCACGCCCGCGTCGCCCACCCACACGCTCCACAACAGCGGATGGGTCCAGTCTGGTACCGAGTGCACGTGCCCAAGTGGTTCGTACCAGAGGGGCAACGATTGCGTCAGCAGCCGCAAGTGTGGCCGTGGCCAATACGCCGCCTCGTGAGTCAAAACCGCACGCGTGTCCTCTGCTTGAGCCTGCCTCCCTTGCAGAAGTGCACTGCACTGCGTTTCGCCGTGCATCGCTGCGCCGCCTCGTGAACACACATTTATTCACACACACACACGCGCGCGCACACACATTCACACACACACACACACGCACACGCACACGCACACTCTCAATCCCTCTCACCTCTTCCCTCCCCGCTCTCCAAAACTCAGGTCCAGCAACAACCGCTACTGCTACGACTGCCGCCCTGGCACGTTCCAGTCTGACTCGTCACATACGGACACAACGTGCTCCTCCTGCCCCGCCGGCAAGTTCCAGGACGACTATGGCCGTGCCGACTGCGAGACCTGCCCCAGCTCCCAGTACAACCCATACACCGGACGCTCGTCGTGCCGTGACTGCTCCTCCGGCTACTACCGCAGCAGCCCCAGCACGCAGACGCGCTGCCAACCCGGATACCGCTGCCCTGGCTCGTGCTCCCGCATTGCATGCTCCCCAGGCACATACCAGAACAGCTACCGCCAGGTGTCGTGCAAGTCCTGCGAGGCTGGCAAGTACCAGACCGAGTCTGGCGCGTCCAGCTGCAACAACTGCGCCAACGGCTACTACACCACCTCTGCCGCGTCTGCCCCCAGGCGCTGTCAGCCCGGCTTTGCCTGCAGCTCGTGCAACCGCCGCGCGTGCAACGGCGAATTCTACCAGAACGCGGCCGGCCAATCCGAGTAAGTTCATCGCGCATACGAGTTAGTGTCGTTGGATGCACCACAACTGTGAGTGTGTACTTGTTGTGCACTTGTGTGAACCCTGAAGATAACGTGATATGGCTGTGTGTGCATGAGCCACCAAAGTGTCAAGCAGTGCGCTGTTGTTGTCTCCCCTGCCTTTGTTTTGCTTTCGTACCCTTACGCTTCCACTCACCACAACCTCACAACCCTACAACCTCCTCCACCGAACCCCTCCACCAACCCCTTTATTCAGCTGCAAGCGCGCAAGCCAGTGTGGTGCTGGCCAGTACGTGAGCCGTGGCCCGTCACAGACAACGGACCGCGTGTGCGGCTCGTGCTCTCTGGGCCGCACGTACCAGGACGCCAGCTCCCACACCTTTGGCAGCTGCAAGCCCGTGCGCAACTGCCCTGCTGGTACCTTTGTCGCCGCGGACCCCACCCTCAGCTCCGACCGCGTGTGCGGCAAGTGCCAGGAAGGCACATACTCCTCGGGCGTCAACGCGAAGCAGTGCGAGGACATTGGCACGTGCGATGCTGGCGAGTACGCCTTCTTCGCCTCGTCCACCTCGGGCGTGGACTGCCGCGCCTGCGCGCTTGGCTCCACCTACCAGGATGAGACAAACCACAACCGCCAGTCCTGCAAGACTGTGTCTCCCGAGTGCCCGGCGGGCCAGTTTCAGGCCGTTGCTCCAACCCGCTCCAACGACCGCGTCTGCAACGACTGTCACCCAGGTACCTTCTCTGATCGCCCTGGCGGTGACGAGTGCGACCCTCACACGCAGTGCGGTGCCGGTTTCATCGAGACCAGCCCCGCCACGCCGACCTCTGACCGCGCCTGCCGTCGCTGCAACGGCGTCACGCAGTACCAGGACGAACAGCACCAGTCCTCGTGCAAGACCGTGCGCACGTGCTCTTCCACCCAGTACGAGACCACGGCGCCCAGCCCCTCCAACAACAGGGTGTGCGCCTCTTGCACCACCTCCTGCCCCAGCGGCAAGGTGCTTGTCGGCACCTGCGGTCCCACCACCGACAAGCGGTGCGAGTCGTGCCACCCGTCGTGCGCCACGTGTGACGGAACAACGGAGAACGACTGCCTCTCTTGCGCCGACTCAAGCCTCACCCTTTTGGACGGCCGCTGTGTCAACCCTGACTGCGGCGAAGGCGAATACCGCGACGGCGCAACCTGCAAGCCGTGCGACTCCTCTTGCGCCGAGTGCGACGGTGCGTGTGTGTGTGCCGTGTGTGTGTGTGTGTAAGTGTGCCCTGTTGTTGCTGTGCTGCGTTTTGGGTGTGTGTTTGTTGCGTTGTTTGCTCTGCGCTGGGGTTCCTGACGGCGCCCAGCTTGTTCCTTGATTTCTGATCCTTGTCACATGACCCCACACGTCAACACACAAAGCACCACGCCCCAACACGACCACTCCAACATGGCTCACACACTCTTTTTTGAACCACTCACACCCTCCCTCTGCAGGCGCCGGTTCGAACCGCTGCATCTCGTGCAAGGGCGATCGCTACCTTGATGGCAACTCGTGCGTGACCAAGTGTCCGACTGGGTACTTCAAGTTCACCAACAGCGAGCGCGACAACGTCTGCCGCCGCTGCACCAGCTGTGATGACGGCACGTTTGCCTCGACCCCTTGCGATGGCAACACCTTCACCGATACGCAGTGCAGCCCGTGGAGCACGTGCGACGAGGGCGAGGAGGAGGACACTCCACCCAACAGCGTTCGCGACCGCGTGTGCCGCAAATGCGAGGCGGACAAGGAATACCAGGACCAGCCTGGCAAGCTCTTCTGCAAGTCTGTCAGCGTGTGCCAGCGCGGCCAGTACGTGTCAACCGAACCCACCCTGACCACCGACCGCCAGTGTTCCGCTTGTGGCACGGGCACCTTCACCAATTCGGAGAACGCCGCGCGCTGCCTGCCCTGTGCTGCAGGTTCATTCCAGGACGAGACAAACTCCCCAAGCTGCCAGGAATGCGGCATCGGCATGTACGAGCCCGAGCAGGGCCAGACGCAGTGCGCGGAGATCCCGCCCGGCTACTACGGCGTCGGCGGCACCATCTCCACCCGCACGGGCATTGCCGAGTGCCCGCGTGGCTACTACTGCCTCGGCGGCTCCCACGACAAGCAGGCCTGCCCGCCCAACCAGTACCAGTCCGAGACCGGGCAGAGCCAGTGCGTGGACCTCACCGTGTGCGGCGATGGCGAGCTTGTCTCCAAGGAGCCCACCAGCATCAGCGACCGCGAGTGCTCCCCTTGCCCCGACGGCACGTACCAGGACGACAACGACACGACATGACCGAGTGCATTCCCTGGACCACCTGTCCCGTCGGCACGCACATCTCCACCACAGGCAACGCTCGCCGCGACCAGTCGTGTGTCAGCTGCGACGCCCCGGAGACGTTCCAGGATAAGGAGAACCAGCGCACGTGCAGGCCCGTCTCAGACTGCCCCGTCGGCACGGCTGAGCTCGTTGGCCCCACCCCCACCTCCGACCGCAAGTGCCGCGCTTGCCAGGTCGGTACCAACTACGCCGATGACACGGGCCTGGAGATTTGCAAGCCCGTCACCAACTGCCGCCCCGGCACGCGCGAGGTGGCCGCCCCAACAGCCAGCTCGGACCGCGTGTGCCAGGCCTGTGGGCCCAACACGTACACGGAGTCAGAGAACGAGAAGACGTGCCGTCCACACACGCTGTGCGGCGCCGGCGAGAAGGAGGTGGAGGAGCCCACCACTTCCAGCAACCGCCGCTGCGTGCCGTGTGACGACGACACCTTCCAGGACTCCAACTCGCACTCTGTCGACTCGTGCACGCGCGTGACCACGTGCGAGCCCGGCGAGTACCTTGCCACGCCCGCCACACGCACGTCCGACGCCGTGTGCAAATCGTGCAAGCTCGGCGAGACGTTCTCGACCACCGACAACGCTGAGGGCTGCATGCCCGTGTCCATGTGCGGCCTTGGCGAGCGCGAGAAGCAGGCCCCAACCACCTCCACGGACCGCGTGTGCGAGGCGTGCCGCGACGGCTACTTCCAGGACAGCGCGTCCCACGCATACCCGACGTGCAAGGAGTGGACGGACTGCTCGCCTGGCGAGTACATTCTCGTTGAGGGCAGCACGTTTGCCGACCGCGTGTGCGACGACTGCTCTGGCGTCGTCACGTACCAGCCAAAGGCTAACCAGGACAACTGCCTCAACGTCACCCGCTGCGAGGAGAACACCCAGTACGAGCTGACCCCGCCCGCCGCGAACCGCGATCGTGTCTGTGCCGACTGCACCGACGCCTCGACCTGTAACACTAACGAGTACCTTGCCGGCACCTGCGGCGGCAACGAAGGCACCGAAAACACCCGCTGCGCCGCCTGCCACCCCACCTGCAACGTAAGACGTTGTGTTGTGTGTGAATGTGTGTGTGTGTGAGCGTGTACGTGTGTGTGTTCTCAAGTAGGATATTCAGTGTAATAACTATGTGCTTGTTGCCCCAACACCTCACAAAAATGTGCTACCATTGCCTCACCTCCACAATACCCGTTCCCCCACCCACTCTATTCCCTCATGTCAATTCGAACAGGGCTGCACTGGACCGGCAATCGATGAGTGCACGGCCTGCGGACCCAACCTGCAGCTGCGCAACGGCCGCTGCATCAGCGAGTGCCCCGATGGCGAGTATGAGCTCGGCAACGGGTGTGCTGAATGCCACTCCACGTGTGCCGACTGTGATGGCCCGGACGCCACCAACTGCCTCCTGTGCGACGGCAACCTCAACCTCTGGGTCGACGAGCAAGGCCAGTCGTGCATTGCCGATTGCCCTCCCGGCTACTACGCCAAGGACCACCGCTGCGTGCCATGCACCTCGTGTGGCATGGGCACCTGGGCCTCCACCCCATGCTCCGCGTCCTCCGACGCCGTTTGCTCTCCCTGGACTGAGTGCAAGCCTGGCCAGAAGGAGTCTGTTTCTGGCAACGCCGTGCGCGACCGCGCGTGCGTGAGCTGCACCCTCGGCATGGAGTACCAGCCGCTGCCGGACCGCGCCTCATGCTTCCCCACCAGCGTGTGCGAGGATCCCTTCATCGAGACCATCCCGCCCACGCTCACCACGGACCGCCTGTGCTCCTGTGACACGCTCACCTGCAACAAGCTCATCACGCAGCTATTTGAGGAGATGGTGTGCGCCGAGCCCACGGACGAGCAGCTCGACGTCGTGCTTGACGTGTGCTGCTCCGGCCAGGGCGAGGATGGCATCCGCGACACCATTCGCCAGATGGACGCCTACGAGGCACGCCGTTCCTGCCCGGGTTGCACAGACACGTGCGAGTGCAGCGCTGGCTTCATCCTTGTCTACGACGCCGATTCGGCAGACTGTCTGCCTTGCGACGGCGTGACGGAGTTCTCCCCATCCGTTGGCGGCAGCAAGTGCGAGCCCATTGAGGAGTGCGAGCGCGGCCAGGAGGAGGTCTCTGCGCCAACCCGTTCGTCGGACCGCGTGTGCCGTGACTGCCCAGCCGGCACCATCGACTCGGACAGCGACGGCTCCACGGGTTGCCAGATGTGCCCCGCTGGCCACTACACGGAGGCAGGCTCCCACGGCTCCTGCTCCAGCTTCACCTGCCGCGCAGGCACCCACGACCACGACAGCGACGCCGCCACGCCGTGCCATCCGTGCGTCTTTGGCATCACATACCAGGATGAGGAGGGCCAGACCACGTGCAAGGACGTCACAGAGTGCGCGCCCGGGTTTGAGGAGGTGCAGGCCATGACGCTCATCAGCGACCGTGTCTGCGACGAGTGCCCTGAGGGCACGTACAAGGCTGTCTCTGGCCAGGGCGTGCCCTGCCTCCCCGTCACCACGTGCGACGCCGGCGAGGAGGAGACGGCCAAGCCCACCCCAACGAGCGACCGCGTGTGCAGCCAGTGCGAGCTTGGCGCCACCTTCAAGCCCGTCGACGGCCAGGCCGAGTCGTGCCGCCCCGTGACGCAGTGCGGCCCGGATGAGGAAGAGATTCGCGAGCCCACGCGCCAGCACGACCGCCTCTGCCGCAAGTGCGTCCAGGACATTACCTACCGCCCCGCCGGCTCAGACACGTGCGTGCCCGTGTCGCGTTGCGCGGCCTCAGAGTACATTTCCACGCACGCCACGCTCACCACGGATGTGCAGTGCACGGCCGTGGGCAAGTGCGAGTTTGGCACCTTCCAGAGCCAGGCGCCCACGCTCGACTCTGACCGTGAGTGCACGGAGTGCTCCGAGTGCCCCAGCGGCCGCTACGAGATTCGTGCTTGCTCCGCGCTGGAGGACGTGCAGTGCGCCGGCTGCTCCGCGTGCCCGCCGAACACATACATCCTGCGCGCCTGCGACTCGGAGAACGATGTGTCTTGCCAGCAGTGCAGCACGTGCTCTGATGAGCAGTACCGCAGCGCGCCATGCACCTCCACCAGCGACACGGAGTGCACGACGCTCGACGTATGCGACCAGGATCAGTTTGAGCTGTTCCCCGCCACGCCAACCACGGACCGCATCTGCCGCGACCTGACCCAGTGCAACCCGTCGATGGAGTACGAGCGCACCGCGCCCACGGCGTCGTCGAACCGCCTATGCCACCTCATCACCAAGTGCGACCCTGGCGAGCAGCGCATCCGCGCCCCCACCTCTACCTCTGACGCCAAGTGCGAACCGTGCCCCATCGGCACCACCGACCACGACCGCAACCCGCTCACTGCCTGCCAGCCGTGCCCTTACGGCCACTATGTGCCCGCGGGCTCCATCGGCTCCTGCGAGCAGTTCCTGTGCCCGGCCGGCACCGCCGACCTGGACCGCAACGCCAGCACGCCGTGCACGCCGTGCCAGGCCGGCCTTGACTTTGCCGCCCTCTCTGGCCAGCGCGATTGCACGCCTGTGACGGAGTGCGACCTCGGCTACGAGGAGGTGGTGCGCCCCACCATCTTCACCGACCGCCAGTGCCGCCGCTGCATCGAGGGCCTGTTCTACCGCGACAGCAGCACGGACTTCTGCACGCGCGTGTCGCCCTGCGAGCCTGGCTCGTTTGAGACGGCCGCGCCTACCATCAGCACGGACCGCGAGTGCCAGATGGGCCGCACGTGCCCCAACAACACGTTCATCTCGCGCCCGCTCACACCCACGCAGAACCGCATCTGCTCGCCGTGGACGCAGTGCCTGTCCAACGAGTACGAGCTCGTTGCGCCGTCGCTGGTCAACGACCGCGAGTGCCAGCGCGTGCGCTCGTGCCAGGACACGGAGTACGAGGTGTCGGCGCCCACGGCCACGACGGACCGCCTCTGCGCCACCATCAGCACCTGCCCCATGGAGCAGTTTGAGGTGCTCCCGCCCACCACCACCTCGGACCGCGTGTGCGCGCCCGCGTACTCTGTCTCGCTTATCTTTGACGCCAAGTTCAACGCCCTTGCCGGCACGCAGTCGCGCCGCGAGGCGTTTGAGGCCGCGCTGGTGCAGTCCATCAACACGACGCAGGATGCGTCGCAGATTCTGCGCATCGACCTGCGCCAGGGCTCCATCATTGCCACCGTCGCCTCCCTCAACGAGGACTTTACGGCTCGCCTCTTCAACCGGTCCGTCTCTGGCGACATAACCGTCATGGGCTTCACCGCATCGCCGTGCGAGGCCGACGAGTTCCTGGACGACTCGGATCCCAACCCTTTTGCGCCCGTGCTGTGCAGCCTTGTGGAGGAGTGCCGCTCCAACCAGTTTGAGGTGTCGCCGCCCACGTCCACCACGGACCGCGAGTGCCAGACGGCCCGCATCTGCCGCCTCGGCGAGTACGTTGTGTCTGAGTTTACCGCCACCACGGACCGCGTGTGCGGCACAACGACGACGACCACGACGACGACCACGAGCACCAACGCCACGACCACGCCGCTCGCCTCGACGGGCAGCGCGGCCAGCCTGTCGCCAGGCATCCTGGCTGTGATTGCGCTTGTGGCGCTGCTCGTGCTCGTTGTGGCCATTGTGCTTGTTGTGTGGCGCAACCGCAAGGCGACCAAGGACCGCCGCCAGAACGAGGCCATCCAGCAGTGGGCGACGATGAACAAGGCGTCGGACGAGATTTCGCAGGCCAACACGCTCCTGCGCCAGCTGTCCCTGCGCGACCAGAGCGTGCTGCTGTTTGACAACCCCATGTTCTCGCAGCCGGGCGGCAACCAGCGGCCCGACTGGTACGTGGGCCAGATGACGCGCGCCGAGGCCGAGGACTTTGTTCTGAAGAACTCTGGCAACGTCGGTGACTTTGTTGTGCGCGAGAGCGCGGCCAACGGCAACTTTGTGCTTACGCTGCTGATTGAAGGCAACCAGTTTGAGCACCACAAGCTGTACAAGGACGCGCAGGGCCGCTTCCTGATCAACGGCAACCGCCCCAAGACGGACTGCATGACGCTTGACGTGCTCATTGACCACCTGAGCCGCACCATGGACGGCACGAGCGCCCTGCTCAACCTCCAGGAAGAGTATGGCCAGGTGCGCCACGCGCCGCAGGCCGCGGAGCCCGAGGGCGACTTCTACGGCGCCCTGTCCCAGGAGCAGCAGGACTTTTATGGCAGCGTGGTGAAGAAGGACCGCCCCACGTACATGCACGGCCCGCTTGCCCGCGGCGAGGCCGAGGCCATCCTGGCCCAGGACCGCACCAAGGGCAACTTCCTCGTGCGCGAGAGCAAGGCGCGCCCTGGCACGTACGCCATCAGCCTGGTGATTGACGACGGCCGCGTGGAGCACCACTCGCTGCGCCACAACGGCTCGGAGTTTGTGCTCAACGACATTCCGCTGTCCGTGCGCTGCAACACGGTGAGCGAGGTGATCAACCACCTTGCCACCAACGAGGAGAGCATGTCGTGCCCGCTCCGTCTGCAGCAGAACAACGAGCCCGTGCCAGAGGTGCCGGGCATGGAGGGCTTCTCCAACCCCAACTACACGCGTGAAGGCCCGGCCAGCAGCAGCGGCGGCTACGACCCGCTCACTGCGCCGCGTGGCGTCGTCGCCAACCCCGGCTACCAAGATCTGCCACCCAAGCCGACGCACCTCGTTGGCGGCGCCGCTGATGCCTCCACCGTTGACGACGACGAGGACGCCCCTCCCGTCAATGTGCGCACCCTTCCCAAGCCATTCCACCTCCTCCCACCCGAGAAGCACGATGCCAGCGCCTGAACTTGACCACACGGCCGCGCGTGCGTCGTGATGTGTCGTTTTTGTGAATGTTTTCGTTTGGTTTGTTTGTTACGTGTTATACCTACTGGACTTGTGTGTGATGATGGTTGCATGGGTGGCGTGCGATGTCGGCACAGTTGTGGTGTTGTGGTGTTGTGGTGTTGTGGTGTTGTTCTTCTCTTAGCGGGGTTGTCTCTGGCTCCGAACATGTTCTTGCTCTTCTTCTTCCTTCCCATCTCTTCCTCTTCCTCTTTTCTCTTCCTTCCCTCTTCCTTCCCCTCTTTTCCTCCTTCCTTTTGTTCCTAGCCTTCACTCTTTTTTTGCTTTTTTCCGTTGCTCCATGGATTGGATACGTTTACCTTTTCCATACGCCACTTTCTCTACAAGCCCCCCTTCATTACATACATGACCAGCGTTCATGCACGGGCACGGGCCTGGTACTCGTACAGCTTACTTACTCATCGTTTCTGTTGACCCGGTTTTGATTGTTCTTGAATGCCCACTTGCGCTTTCGAGTCTCTTCCCGTCTCAGTTGTTCTCCCCCTCTTTGCTCTTCTTCCAGTTCATTTCATGCCTTTGGTTTTCTTCCGCGTGCGGTGGTTAGCGCCTCGGGGTACACCTTTCCTCCCCAGGACACACGCAGCGGCGTGAGTTCCAGATCAACTCAAAGCTCAACTCATTAAAGGCAATGCAATGATGATTCATGGAAGTGGGAAGGGGGGGGGGGTTGTGTGTGTGGTGTTTATTAAGTAGTAGTAGTGTTATGGTTTAAGTTGTTGTTGTTGTGTTGTTGCTGCTGCTGCTGTTGTTGCACTCAGCAGTTTATGTGTCGCATTCACATCATGTCTGCCACACCACTCCTTTCATTTGAGGTTGATTATTTGCGCGTGGGGAAAGGTGTACGACTGCGCTGGTCCGTGGTGGGGAACGCAAAACAAGCAGACCAGGTGGACACGAACAAAAGCGTGTGGAGGGTGAAAGGAACGTAACAGCGCTGGCAGAGGTGGAGGTGAACGGGGGTGCAGTTGTAGGAAGGCAAGAACGAGTTCATGATCGCCGGAAACGGAAATGCTCGGGCAAACAGGCTCTCAGGGGCAACCACATTTGCCCCTTGGAACAGCAAGCAAATGGCAGGGCAGTGTAGGAGAACGAAAGAAAGCCAGAACGGAAGAACGGAAGAGGAGAAGGCAAATGCAGGGCAGGTAAACAACGCGTTCAAGGACGTGAGTGTCAACGCGCAAACGCAAACCAATGATTGGATGAAAGTGGTGAATGGAAAAGAGCGTGGGACGCACGTAATGTAACACAAATGCACGCTGGGGTTGGCGAAGGTCAGTGACTGTGATGACACGCAAGGGAACGAAGACAGGAACGCAACATGGGATAACAGGTGAGCGAAAGGGAAGGAGGAAGTTGCAGGATGAAACACACCAACGAAGGTGCTGCTGGGGTGTGGGTGATACTCCCCTACGGCTGCGTTCAGGCCTCAAACACGAGGATGCCGCGCACGAGGACGCATGATGGGTCGTTGATCACAACCTCGGCGGCGGTGCGCTTGCTGGCCCACTGGGACGACTTGATGGGCATGGCATCCACGACGCTGCCGGAGCTGAAATCAACCACGGCGACATGGGCGTCGTGCCCGCCAACGAGTGGCTTGCCGTTGAAGGTGGCAGCGTCGCGGACCGGGTATGGGTTGCCATACTGCACGTCACACACAAGCACGACCCGGAACTGCTTGCCTGCAGGCAATTTCATCTTCTTCAGTTCAGCCGGCACGTCACGGCACGCGTCGCTGTACTCGAGAGCATAGTCGAGGTCTGGCGTGAAGTAGAAGCCAGCACCGTACCAGCCGTTGTCAGTCTTCTGCAGCTGTGCGAAATCGCCGCCCAGGATGCTCATGGCCACGGCAAAGGACGGCACGCCGTGGAACACGCGCTGCAGGCGAAGACGCACATCGGGCTGCATCATGGTCTGATCCAGCACCTTGTACGGTGAAGCGCCAGCAGGGTGGAGAGTGACGCGAGCAAGGACGGCTGCTTCCTCGGCGTTGGTGGGAGCACCTGTTGCCGGATCGATCTGGTACTTGGGGTGGAACGGGTGGTTGGCGCAGCTCATGTGACCAAGATAACGGGTCTGGTTGCGGTGCAAGGAGCCGTTGAAGGCAACGTTCTTCTGGCTGCACTGCACAACAGCAACACCAGCAACGGTCTTGCCAAAGGGCGCTGCTGTCGCCTCATCGCTTGAGCGCCCACCAGCTTCCGTGATCATCTGTGGTGTGTTTGTGGACAGGGAAGGAAGATGCCAATGGGCCGTGAGAGCAGTGGCGAAGAGACCTGATAAGCAAGCCACAGCAACCCATCGCTTCACACGAATACGCACGCACGCACGCACAGACGCACACACACACACACACACACACACACACACACACACACACACACACACACACGCACACGCACGCACACACGATCTCACCTGTTTGACGATGGCGGTGGCCGTGTCGTGTGCGGCGCCAACAGCAGCAATGTGCACAGACGCGCGTGTTGGATGAGTCACCGTGAAGGACTGCAGTGGTACAAGAACACTTTGCTGCCACTTCCACACGGCATCAGCAGGACCGTGCAGCAGCCTGTGTTGCTTCGCCATGTCGACTTCGTGCTGTTCTTTGGCCGCTGTGTACTGCCCACCCAGCGTGCCTTGCAGCTGAACAAACGAAGGCCGGTTGCCGCTCACATCAAAGCACTGACCAAGCACTTGCTGCACCGCATTGCTCAGCCTGCGACCGTTGATCTCAACGTCAAGCGGGAGATACCGGCCCTCCTCATACGCCTTAGAAATGACAATGGATGACGCGCCACCCAGTGCAGCGTATTTGCCGTGATGCCATGGCTTGATGTTGAGGAACAGCTCCCACAGGAGAACGGCGAAGGAGAACACGTCCGTGTCCATACGGAGCTCTTGCATTTTGAATAGCTGCTCTGGGGATGCCCACAGAGATGTTCCGTCGACCTTCGACACCACGGACTTGTCTGCCGACTTGAAGGCGCTCAGGCCAAAGTCCGTCACCTTGGCGGAGAGCGATGCGTCCAGCAGCACGTTGGGCGACTTGAGGTCACGGTGCACGACGTTGTGGGCGTGCAGGAACGCCATGGCACAGGCCACCTCAAATACAACACGAAGACAAGTTGGCTCGTCAAGCGGCTGCTTCTTCACGTGCAAGACATCATAGAGAGAGCCATTCTCGGCCCAGCTCAGCACAAAGGCCAGCGTCTGGCTCTGCTCATCGTGGGTGAGGCCAAGGAAGTGCACAATGTTGGGATGACGAAGGGAGAGCAGGATGAGCGCCTCGCGTCGCAGCTGCTTCAAGTGGTCTGGAACGTCCTCAGACCCAGCAACGCATGCAATGATCTCGGAGAGACGAGGGCGATTCTGGACGGGCATTTGCTTGAGAGCAACCGGCTGGCCCGCCAGCTCCGCCTTGAACAGGGAACCAAACGAACCACCAACGGGCTTGCCACTGGTGTCGAAAACTCGTACTTTTCCCACAAAACGGGACGATGGGATGTTCAGGTTCAACACGCTCTCTTATACAATGAATCAAGGGGATGTGGTGAATATGCAATGTGTGTGTGTGTGTGTGTGTGTGTGTGTGTGTGTGTGTGTGTGTGTGTGTGTGTGTGTGTGTGCGTGCGTGCGTGTGTGCGTGCGTGTGTGTGAGGGTGGGCAAGTGAGAGGGCGAATGAAAGCGCAAGAGAGGGACAAACGTAATCAGCTGAGACAAGTCTAAGACATGAGTGACCCAACCGAGCTTGTCTTCCCAGTCATCCTTGAGCTCCTTCAAGAAGGCGTTCTCCTTGGTCAACTCCTCCATGAGCGATTCTGACAAAAACCGTCCAATGATTGGCACACGTTGGACGAGAAGAGACTCGCATGGATCGAGCGCAGTACAGGTGGGGAATGCAGGAGAGGAACCGTCGTTGTACTCACGAAAGTGGGGACTGAGGGTTGTGGGTCCCGAAGCTTGCTCGCTAGATTGTTCGTTTGCCTGCTGCAACAGGCCGTTCTGTGTTTGGGCAGGGTTAAGTTGGGCTTCTGTAATTCCAATGCAAGAATGCAAGCGGGAGCATGGTGAGGAATTCTCCCCTGTCATATTATTCCAGGCTGAATTTGAACGCGCAGTCATGTCATCATCACTCCAGCAACACGCACCCAGAACACCAAGCGTCCGATTGAAGGTGACGTTGTTCGGCTGAACACAATGATGATGATGATGATGATGATGATGATGATGATGATGATGATGATGATGATGATGATGATGATGATGATGATGTACATAGAGAGTGTGCGTGTGTGCGCGTGAGATCCAGAGTGTGAGCATGTGTATGCACATTGATAGTGAATGACAGCATGTTAACATTGGTGAAGCAAAGCCATAACAAGCGCCACGGAATTTGGCATGGAAACGATCATAACTGCAACGAACCGCAAGCGTGGCCGGTAGTAGGTAATTGCCAACAGATGCCCAGAACAGCTGCTGCACTCGCCGCCAAAGCCATCGGAACATGCCAAGTAGGCCACGATTGCGACGTTCGCTCATTCGCAGATGAAAGGCCTGTTGCAGATCAGGACGGTTGGTGCCACTGCGCGTTTTGATACGGTTCGTGGCAGGTGTAATAGATGTCATGAACGCATGTGAAAGCTCATTCGAGAACATGCAAGATCTTCACCATGTGCGTGGCGTCAATTTCAAACAATGAACCGACAAGTCAACGACGATGTTGCGGTGAGGGTCGAGGGCGTTGGCGATGGTGACAGCATGGGTCTGGGTGACGTCCACGTCGGTAAAGCTGCAAATGGCAAACGTATTTGATGTGAGGTTTGACTTGACGAACAGCACAAGTGAGGAAATGCGCAATGGATTGGGAAAGCACCAACAGCGGCAAGAACACACTCGAGTTTCTCCAAGCAGCTGTTGCTCTGAAGGGCGAAGGCCAAGGCGTCAATGTAGTGATTGCTGACAGCAAGGAACGCAGGGAAGTTGGGGAAGGAACACCGGCGCATGTGGCCAGCAGTTTGGGTGAAAAGAAGAGATTGTTGTACAGAAATCAAATTGGACTGGCGGCCGATTTTGAGCCCTCTCGCTCGAAACAATGAGCATGCATGGCAGATTCGCAGTAGCACAGAAGATGAGAACACCATGAGAAATGTCGCCAACACTTTCACGTTCATCCTTTGACTTACGCGCTATTTAGCCGTACGTTCCCCGAGTCAGACACCCCAATTATGTTCATGCAGGTGCGGACAATAGATGAGTATCGCGATGAGGCATCCAACCACGCGAATACGTCCACAAACAAGACAAACATGTCGTTTTGAAGTGCATAGGTTGTTGCCACATCACCGGTGGGCACGACCCGACAGCAATTGGTCATGGCATCAACTCACGCGGTGCTTGGTGCCGTTTTGTTAGTGGCAGCAATCCAATTGGCCCTGCACCACGGAAATTGCCACAGCGTCACCACATAGATAGACATACACACGCCCGCATGCACGCGCGCACATGCACACACACACTCTCTCAAGGTGTGATGTATTGACTCCACATCTTGACACGAGAGCACGTCTCACTTCATCGCCTCATGAACTCTGACCTGAAGGACGATCCGCAACGGTTGTTGAACACAGATCTGATGGCCTTCTTACAGTCTTCATGGAGCCAAGATATGGCTCCGAGTTTCAGCTCCAATTCCAATGACATGGCAAGATGGCGAGGTCGGTGCCGTGCCAAATGGAAGGGCGCTCCTCAGAGTCGGCGCGCGTTCTCGTTGCTTGTGCTTGAAATGTCCCCGGTGGTCTGGTGATTGACCGCCTTAGTATCCTGCTTCCTCTGCGGGTCTCTGTCCGCTTCAAAACCACTCCTCGGAACCACACTACCACAGCAGTCTAGCAGTGCCAGTGCGTCCAAGCCAAGAAGCTAAGAAGCCAAGAATGAATGGAAGAACAATTGCCGGCACCAAAACGCAACACAAACAGCAGCCCTCTAAACCCGAAGCCTCCTTTCCTTGTGGCGTTCCCTGCAGTTCCCTGGCTTTTCTTCTTCTTTCTTTCCCTTCTCACCTGCTTGCTTGCTTGGTAGCTGACCTTGGTTCTTGGTTCGTCGCCAGGACACTCAGTCCTCTCCTCCGTCCAGACCTCCTCGTGAGAGTTGTTGGGGAAAAACAAACAAAGCAAAGTCATTTTTTTTTATTTCCCTTGCGCCACCAGCAAGTCAAATTTGCCCTTTTGCCCGCGGCGGTTATCCAACCCCGTTCCACTGGCCACCCAGCAGCCAGGCCATGTCATCAGAGCGCTTCTTCCATCGCGTCACCTCAGCGTTTGATGCCATGTGAGTGGGCGACTCGCATTGTTCGCTTCATGCTCGCTCCCTTTTTCACTGGTCTGTTGCGCGACCACCACACACACACGCACACACACGCACGCACACACACTCACACGCATACACATACATACAACCCAACAGCTTCCAAGAACGCGTAGCAGCCCGAACTCAGCCAACGGCGTCACAAGCAGCGATCAGAGCGAACCCTGTGCAAGAGGCTGGCTCCATTGTGGACAAGAACCGTTGCTTTACCAAAGATGAACCAGTTGTGGACGCCAAAGGTAGTCACGCCTCAACGACAAAGGGCAGCGACGACAAGGAGGAGAAGAGGGGAAAGAAGAAGAAGAAGAAGAAGAAACGAAAGGACCCGAAGGTTCAATTGGAGTCACACGAGGACACAAACAGTGGTGATGCGAAGAAGGAAAGTGAGCAGCAGGACAACGAGCAGCAGGATACTCAGTTTGTAGCACAAGAGGAAGCGTTGCCGACGAGCGAACGGCCGCTCTTGGAGTTACTTGAAGGTCGTGCCACCTACATTCTCATCGCTCAACGACCGTCAGCCATCAAGGTGTGAGTGTGTGTGTGTGTGTGTGTGTGTGTGTGTGTGTGTGTGTGCGTGTGTGCGTGCGTGTGGACTGCGTTTGCAGGCCAACTCGCATTCGCTTTGCTTTGTGACATGCCAACTCGCATTCGCTCAACCATCTGTGCACACACTAACTCCACCACATTTCCACCACTTCAGTCCACTGCAACTGCACGACAGATCAAGTTGACGGACCTCTGGCGGCGCGCCACCAAAGCATCCTTTCTCGCACGCCCAAGGTATGCGCATGTGTGTGTACGTGTGTGTGTGTGTGCGCGCGGAGGTGGTTCTTCTATTCCTTCCATCCCTTCGTCTGCCTCGTCACTCTTAGTGTCCTCCCTTTCTCTCCTCCCATCCATGCCTGCTCCATGCGCACTGACGCAGGAAGGGAAAGGGCGCTGTGCTGTTGCGGCGTAACCTCCGGCGGAGCGCCGCCTATCAGCATGGAGAGGAAGGCATACCAGATACGTGCCACGGCGTTGTTGTGCGGCCGCAAGACTGTGGGCAATTTACGCTTGAGGCGATGGTGAGGGCGAATGAGAAGCTGCATCGGCAGTGGGAGGCGGAGTACACGCGAGCAGAGCAGGTGCTGAAGCGAACAAAGGGGATGCATGGAGAGCAGCGTGGCACGCGGGGCACAGTCGCGTCAATACAGCCGCAGACACAGCAGACACCGACACAGCACGGAGACAAGCAGAATAGCGCGAAGGTGAAGAAGACGAAGAAGGCGAAGAGGACCACGAAGAAGATAAAGAAGGGAACACAGGCAGGAAACAGATACACGCAGCACCACCAATAGCAGTGCGAGTTGTTGATCACTGACTTTCTGAAGCAGGATTTAACGACCTGTACACTTGATGCGAATTGACAACACGTTACAGCCGTGTTTGTACATGTGCAACGTGTGTTGTCACGCCACAATCACGCCCCCTGTCATTGCCCTGTTACACAATCCATCCCTCGCACACGAATGCGACTGCCATTCGACTGTGCCTGCTTTGTTTACTATTCGCTCACGTGTAACATTCTAACATTACATTAATGTAAACCGAAAACAGCAATCGCAATCAGTATCGCGTGCACGTTCATGTAAATTCGACAGCGACGTTGTGTGTGTGTGTGTGTGTGTGTGTGTGTGTGTGTGTGTGTGTGTGTGTGTGTGTGTGTGTTGTGCACGCACAGAGGTGTAGACAGTTGGGAGTGGAAGAAGAGGGGAGAAGGGACGTGTGCACGAGCAGGTCATGTGGCACTCTCAGCCTTTCGTTGCTGCTGTGGTGGTGGTGTGTCCACCAACCTCGTGCCCTCGTCCTCAGATACCAATACCATCTCCCCGTCGTCCCTTTTGTCGTCATCACCACACCGAGTATCGCTACCTGCCTTATCTTTTCCATTCTCCGACCCCTGCCTCACCTCCACTTCCGCCCCGTCCACCCCCTCCTCCACCCCGTGTTGCCCCGTGTACAGCGGCGTGACCTGCGGTGAGAGCGGTGCAATGTGCTGCAGGCGCGCTTGCATCTCCGCCACGAACACGTCCATATCCTTGAAGATGTCCACCACGTCATCGTTGATGTTCGCGAGTTGAAGAACGACAGCAGATCCGTCGGCGTCTTGCCAATCAGCACGCCCCTATGTTTTCGTGTGTGTGTACGTGTGCGTATGTGAAATGTGCGGAAACGCCGTGCACAGTTGTGTGAAAGGACACACACACACACACACACACACACACACACACACACACACACACACACACACACACACACACACACACACACACACACACACACACAGAGGAATGGTTTGGACATGTGCCAGTTTACCATTTCACCACCCGCTACCACGATGCCCACCTGTGTCTGCGGAGGAAGAGAAACGCCATGAGTAGCGGCATCTTGGCCGACACGACCCACCGCCCGGCCCACAGTCGCTCCCACACAGAGAACACCTGATGTTGTCACACGCCACGAAGGAAGGAAGGAAGGAAGGGAGGGAGGGAGGAAGAGGAAGAGGAGGAGCGTGGCCATGTAAGATGCAGTGCAGGCGACACCGTGTGAGGAAGGGCAAGAAGCGGGTGAGGGTGTTGGATCAAAAGGAACACGAGGAGGTGACTGATGAGTGTAGAAGCGGATGTGGTGTGTTGTGTATTTGACGTGGTGTTGGTGGGCTGTTGCGGAATGTGGGCTGGGCACACGATGAATATGTGTGTATACATGTGTGTGTGTGTGTGTGTGTGTGTGTGTGTGTGTGTGTGTGTGTGTGGTTGCTCACGTTCTCGGCGCTCAGTTCGCGCTTAAAGTCGACGAGGAGCCAGCGGTAGCACACGAACAAATCCTCCGCAGACTGCAGTGGAAGGGGGAGTTGGGTGGGGTGGGATTAAGGGTGAGGAGGAAAGGGTGAGATGAAGTGAGGAACAAGTGCAGGCAGACAGAATGGTTGGAAGACAGACGCGAAAGCACTCACACACACACCCACCCACACCCACACCCACACCCACACCCACACACACACACACTCTCTCTCTCTCAAGCACGTGCGATGCACCTCGATGGAGAGTCCGTCATGGAGCGGGCGGTCAAACATGAACAGCAGCCGCTGCAGGTGCCCGAGCGAGTGCTGGCACGAGTCAAGTGTGTATGTATGTGCGTGCGTGCGTGTGTACGTGCGTGCTTGTATGTGAGGCAACTCCCAATCACTTTCCCAATCACTTTCCTCACACGCTTCAGCACGCCAAGTCTCGACTTTGCACACATGCATCCCTCCGCCCCCTTCCACATTTGTGTGTGTGTGTGTGTGTGTACGTGTGTGTGCAACATACAACCCCCTTCCCCCTTCCCCTTTCCTTCACGTCCCACCTGTGCGTTGTTTGGGTCTGCTGCGTCAAAGCGGGTGCGGGCAAAGGACATGAGGTTGACAAAGCACTTGTACGCAATGTGCGGCTCGTGCACAACAGCGAGCAGCGGCTCAACCAAGTCTGATGGGGAAGGGGGGGGGGGAGACGACGAGTGAGATGGGTGAGGGGCAGGGCGAGTAACATCGCGTGTAGAGAGAGCATAAAGCCGTGTTCAATCACCCTGCCATGTCACACACAGACACAGACACAGACACACGCACACACGGACACACACGGACACACACGGACACACGGACACACACACGGACACACACGCACACACACAGACACACAGACACACACGCGCACACGCACGCACGCACACACACACACACACACACACAGACACACACACACCGCTCATGGCCTGGCTGTAGTGCGCGCGCGTGTGGTAGAGGTAAGCGTGGAGAATGTTGTGGAGGTGGCGCATAAACTCGTCTCTGCCACCACCGAAGCGCTGACTGAAGTGCACATCCGCCCGCTCAATGTCGCACGCGATGATCCGCGCCTGTGGCGTTCGCATTGTTCACACGCGTATGTGTGTGAGCGCGTGTGAGTGAGTGAGCGTGCGCGTGTGTGTGTGAAATACGTGAGTCAGAACAAGATCCAAGAAGCCAAACAAAGCAATCGAATCTCACCCCCCCCTCGCCACTCACACGCACAACACTAGAGCACAACAACACACAGTCCCCTTCCCCCCGCTTCTCCCAGACAGACACAATCGCCCAGCACCCGCCCTCCCTCACGTGTTCGTGGATGGCGGCGACGTCCTTGGCAGCGGGATCGCTGATGAGGTGCAGCAGAGCGCTGTACTCGCGGAAAATGGCCGCCTGCTGCTGCTGCAGCTCGCGACACGTGCTGTTCCACGTGTACACGCCAAGCAGGTACGGCCACAGCACACAGCGCACACTGCAGCGGAGACGAGGAGGAGGCGTGTGGGTTGTGGGGTTGGGCGGAGGAGGTTGAGAGCGTGTGGATTAGGCAGTGCAGACGAGGAAGCGTGTTTACAGAGGTGAGAGAGCGTGCATATGCATGTGCATGTGTGCGTGTGTGTCTGTGAATGATGGCAAGTGAAGCAGACAGAGCAAACAAAGTGCGACGGCCGTTGCGCACGCACGCAGAAAGCCACCAGAAATA